ACACACACACACACACACACACACACACACACACACACACACACACACACACACACATTTTTTTCCGTTCTAAAAATACATAATGTATTACGGGAATTTGCATAATTCGCATCGAGAAATCAACTAATCGCAAGTCGGAATGAAAAAATGTACGCGTTGCTTGTAATTTTTGCACTCAGCATTTTCGCTTTTTCTCATTTCGTCGAACGAATATATTTTTATCTCAAGTGCAAAAATTTTTTAAGGCCCATATTCAGAACGCGCTTATAATGATATTAGCGCGCTAACATGCTATAATTTACATTATGCATTTTATATAATTTTAGAGATAAAAGCGCGTCCTGAATACAGGCCAAAGATTTTAAACAACGCAACAAACCTTGAAATTTATTACGCACGCGATTGGCCAGTTTGCTCGAGCAAGTGTGTCACCGTGACTCTGTAGAAATATTTCCTCTAAAAATGAATAAATGAATTTAGATTATTCTAACCGGATTATTCTTTCGTGTGAAGCTCGTCGTTTGACACTTGATCTTTCGAGATGTTTCGAGGCGACTTCGAATTCTTTAAAAAGAAATAAACGTCACGCACGAATTACAGAGAAGCGGATATTGCAGTGTTCATGAACGCCATTGAGTCGGCAGGGGTGCCGTTAGTTGCATATCACGAAGAACAGTTAAATTGCAACCGCACTGACCGCTCGTCCCCAATGTCCCCAATATTCTTCCTTGCGGCGAGTGCGGCGTCCGCCGTTGAACGGATCGCGATATAAACGTCAGATTCTAACGTAGCAAACCGCGATAAATTCTGATAGGTGATAACGTCATCTTACGACGCAACAATTGCGAAACATAACATCTTTTAATTTGACGAATTGGCGAGGAGAAGGGAGAGAGTAGTGATATCGTCTTGGAAGGATTGATATTGACATTGCACATTGCAACAGTGACATTCAAGACGGCCGAGGCTTCGAAGTTCAAGAAAGCGTACCGGAGAGATGGGCTACCTAAAGTCAATTGGCACCGTCATCATCTACATCGGCTTGATTCTAACCGTAATCACGTTCATACCCGGTCTACCACCAGAGACAGAGTTCGCGGAGTACAGGTATTACGACGCAATCGAGAAGAAAAAAAAATCATTTGAATCATGACTGATCATTACGACTGCCATTGATCTGGACTTTGATCCTTGCAGTATAACACCACCGCGTCAATTGGATTCCAAGGTAGGCCCAAAAAATCGGCTGAACGGCATTCAGAAGCTGTTCAATGGCGAAATCCATGCGCCAGAGAGTTTTGATTCCTATAACGGACAGCTCTACACTGGTATCCATGGTGGTTATGTCATCAGGATCGAGGAGGATCGCATTGTGCCGATTGTCAAGTTCGGCGAGAAATGCGGTAAAGTTGTATAGATTGTACAGTAACCATCATTCTTTCTTATGAAGGATAGTGCTTTGTTTCAGTAGCTGTCTTTTAAATTTATTAATTTTTTCTTAAAACTTAGTTTTGTTCTTCATTTTAATAATAATAGGTCTATTTTTTATTGCTGCACTTTCTGAACTAATACACACAGTGCAATAAGTTGAAATGAAACAAATATATATGTTTGAAAATTTTTCTTTCTAATTGGTATTCCAATGTCTAGTCACACTACAAGCGAATATTTACATAATTGAAATTTAATTTTATGTAAAGGCGATATTGATTCAAGCAAAACAATAAAGTTGGAATAACAATTTTAATTAAGTTTTTATCTTATCTTTTTGTTTTTTATTCAGTTTTTTATCACTTGAGATAAATATTAACAAACCTCGAAAGAAACAAAAAATATCTAGCAGCATATATATTTGTCAATAAAATGGTTGCAAAGGAGAAAAAAGCAAAAGATAAAAAATAAGAAACAAAAAATAAAAAGCATTGTAGAATAAGCATTGTAGAATAGATTTTATTTCAGATATATTGTGCAAAAAAATTTCAGAAATTAATGTGCATTCTGATAGTCACAAATTAGTTATAAATATTTAAAAAAGTTCTAAAATTTATAGATATA